ATATGTTCTAGGGTATTCATGGCATTTAGATGTTGTTTGAGTGAGAGCACAACGAGTAGTGCACGGTTCAAGGTGTAAAGCAAAAAAAAAAAAAAGGAAAAAAAGAAAAAAGAAAAAGTAAAGAGGAAATAGCACTGCAGCAATAGAGGAGAGCATGTGAAGGAAAACAAGATATCTCTCTGGTTTCAGGCACTCAAATCCCACTCAGATCAATCCAGTTATCCAACGAAATAAGCATTCACCTTTCAGTTCTTCTGACTTTCACAACCTTCTCCCTTTCTCAGCTACCATGGAGGACCTAGAACATTTCAGCCACTCACATCCATTGATCTTTTGTCAGGAGAAGCAAGATTATCAAAATCACGCCTGCAGTGGTTGCAGTGAAATCATCTCTGGTCCGGCCTACAATTGCACAGCCTGCAACTTCAACTTGCACAAGTCATGTGCAAGCCTTCCTTTTGAGATATTTCACCTCTTTCACAGGCAGCACCCGCTCTTTCTCTCCTACTGGCCCAAATCCTGGAAATGTAGCAAATGCAAGGATGACAGCACCCTTGGATTCAAATACCACTGTTACAGGTGCTCCTACACTCTTGATCTCAATTGTGCTTCTTTGATTGATATTTCTGACCCCACGCCTGTATCCATGCAGCAAAGCATCACTGCCATCTCAGATTTCCTCCACCAAGATGATCCACTCAGTACTCACATCCCACTCAGATCAATCCAACAAATTAAGCAGTCATCTTTCAGTTCCCTTGACTTTCATCACCCTCTTCCTTTATCAGCTACTATGGAGGAGCTGGAACATTTCATCCACTCACATCCCTTGATCTTTTGTCAGGAAAAGCAAGGTGATCAAAATCTCCCCTGTGATGGTTGCAGTGAAATCATCTCTGGTCCAGCCTACAGTTGCAGAGCCTGCAACTTCAACTTGCACCAATCATGTGCAAGCCTTCCTTTTGAGATATCCCACCTTTTCCACAGGCAGCACCCGCTCTTTCTCTCCTACTGGCCCAAATCATGGAAATGTAG